CGGCGTCCTCCTCAGCACAGTCATCACGGCGTCCTCCTCAGCACAGTCATCACGGCGTCCTCCTCAGCACAGTCATCACGGCATTCCTGCATCTCGGCGTCCTCCTCAGCACAGTCATCACGGCGTTCCTGCATCTCGGTGTCGCGGGCCGCACCGTGTGAGCTGTCAGCCGTCTGCGCGCGGTTTCGGGGATCAGCAAAGAGGTTTTGAATCAAGATGGTCTGGCTAAACGTCGGTTTATTGTGCAACCGAGAGCACCTGTCTCCGTGACGACATGCTCCAATTTTGAAACAAAGTAACAGTTGACTTTGTCTTTCAGGTGCCGAAGATGGAGGCCAGATACTCCGCCATTTCCCACCCGCCGCCTCAGACACTGCTGCTGTCGCTGCCAACCCTGCGGACGCCCCCGCGGGACGTGTCTTCCTGTTTTCCACTGAAGAGGAGCGGGAAAATGACAGCCCCAGAGATCGATCGGGCTGTGACCTACGGGAGTTGGGATGAGAGATGGAATGCGAGGGAAGAACACATTCACTGAGTCAGCAACACGCATGGTGCTGGGTGTACTGGAGATGCCAAGCACAATGGGCCAGTGGCACAAGCAGAGAAAGTGATGCTTCTAGAATACACCACGTGACCACCATCTAGCTGCATATGGACTGTGTCACTTTCCCCCTCTCATAACAAATAGTCATCTCACCAGCAATGAAAGAAAGTGAGCACCCTCATTCCGCTGGATGTGTAGACTAGCACAGTCCTTTGAGTACGCAACTAAGCACTGCACCAAAAGATCTGTGGGCTTTAATGTGACAATTCTAGTACTAGGAATCACTTATAAAGAGTCAGAAATGCAAAGACTTAACAGGGGTGTTCTCAGCAGCACTTTTTTGACAGGTAAAACTGATTTAAGAAACCTAAAGGCATGGCAATAGGACTTGTGAGACACATTCAACTATACCAGTTGAATATAGGGTGGCTCTTAAAGCTGAGGTTTTTCAAAGACTGTCTGGCATTCTTCCTACAAACGTATTTGAGAGCCTCCTGCATGGCACTGGGAAAAGCTCACCATATAATGCTAAGTCAGAAAGAATGCAAAGTCTCTATACAGCAAATACACACACACACACACATACACACACACACACAAATACACATAGACATGGAGCTTATATACAGGTCTTCATTCAAGATAGGTAGAAACTACAGTTTTCCAGCCATTAGTAGCTAGGTGGATAGAAATTAGGTGGGTAACTCTCCTAACAAACTTCCCCAGGCTTTATCAGGGCTGTCTTTGTGGACTGAAGGTAGTATGCCACCCATGCCTGGCCCATCACTCCAGTGAGCCTCAGTTTCTTTATCTGTCATAGGAGGAGGTTGGATTATATTATTATTACTAAGGCTTCTAAAAATATGCAAGGTGGGCCCTATCTTAGTCACCTTTCACCATTATCAGACCTTCCTGTTGTGGCCCTGTTTAGAAAGGCCTAGTGGGGGTTAACAAAAGACCATGAGATCAGCAGAGGAAAAAGGGAGAGCTTTACTTTCCATAAAAAAAATTCACAGACCTGGGAGGCACAGCCTTCAGTACAAATGAAAGTGTCCTCTTCAAAGAACAAAGGGAGGGTCTGGCTTAAATAAGAACATTTCTAGCCCATAGTCTTAGTGTATTTATGCTAATGAAGGATTAAAACTACTTCAATTCTGATTGGTCAAATAATCCAGCCCTGATTGGGAGGGTTTCAAGCCCCAAACCAAAAGTCTTTGTCAGCTGTTCATTTTGTGGGGTGGGGGTGGGATGGGGGACAGAATGGGGTAGGTTTTGAGGAGTAGCTTTCTGGCTGCAGTTTATCCTGGCTGTGGTTACTAAAACTTTTCTGGTTCAGAGCTGTAAAGCAGGATGTTTGTCAAGAGCTGCTTGTTGAGAAACCAAGGTGTACTCTTTCTCACCCTGCTATGGCCACAGGGTTCTGCTTTTAAATGTACAGCTCTGGCTGGGTGCAGTGGCTTATGCCTGTGATGTCAGCACTTTGGAAGGCCGAGGTGGAGTTCTGACTTGAGGTCAGGAGTTTGAGATCAGCCTGGCCAACGTGGTGAAACCTCATCTCTACTGAAAATACAAAAAATTAGCTGGGTGTGGTGGTGTGCACCTGTAATCCCACCTACTTGGGAGGCTGAGGCGAGAGAATTGCTTGAACCCAGGAGATGGAGGATGGAGGTTGCAGTGAACTGAGATTGCACCACTGCATTTCAGCCTGGGTGACAGTGAGATCCTGTCTCAAAAAGAAGGAAAGAAAAGAAAAAAAAGAAAAGAAAATTGGAGCTCCTCTAATAGGCACAGAGAGTCCATCTTGTCTGGATATCTTGGTATCTTATTTTACAATTTTATGGCACAGGATGCAAAGCCGATAAGCATTTGAATGGGAAACCTCAAGGAAGGCATTCTTTTCTTCCTGTCACTAGCAACCTCCAAAAGGGCAACTGAGATGGGGAGACTTGCAGAATGGGTGTCTTGTTTGTTTAGGGGTGCATGGCAACATGGCAGATTCTGAAAAAGATGATGACAGCTCCCAGGGACCTGTGAGCAGATGTCCCTGAGACAGGCTGTCAGCCAGGACACCCTCCCCAGGCTGTGTCCCCAGGGAACCAGCAGCTGCCTTAGGTTCTGCATCCCTCTGGTTTTCTGGTCTTGAGTGGGATTCGGTCCAGTCCCTGCTTTGGGACACTAAGGCAGTCACTCCCCAGCCACTTGGAGGGGAGGCCAAGGCCCTGCTCCCTCCCACTCACAGTGATAGGCACTGGGAAATTTCTGGGGACAATAAGTTGCAAAACGTCATTGGGATTGAAGGAGCTGTTTGAAGCCTTTTAGGCCTCACCAGAGCTCTAAACCGAGGGCATTTAATTGGCCTTATAATTTCCGATGGATTCTGGAGTTCAACACTTTGGAACATGCTGCCCCTGCAGGGCTGGCTGGCAGCCTTGGGATGGTGTGTGGGCCAGAGCTGGTGCAGATGCCTGGACTCCGGCCACGACCCCGGCCCGCCTGGATATCCGGAAAGGCCTGCTCTCCCCACATCCTAGCAGAGGGCAAGGGTCCCACCAGCTTTATCTCTTTCCACCCGGCTCCTTGGATGCGTGGGTTCTCCATATGTGGGGGCTATGGCAGGAGTGAGTGCCTTTCCAGCCAGTCCCTGCCACTTCTCAAACCTGACAGCCTCTCGGGGGACAAGAGGGAGACAGGATTTAAAGAGGAGATTCGAGTTTCTTCTTCAATGGGGGGCATGGGGGGTGTTAAAAAATTCCTGCTTCAAATACATATTATGGACATTAAATACCTCATAAACTTTTCTTTAGAATATCAGTATTTAGTTTGGACAATATTATTTCATCTGAATTTATGTAGAAAAATACAACTCAGCCATCTGCTTATAAACATTTAAAAGGTGCCAAATTAGAAAACAGGGCATTAGCAATTAAAATTTTTATTTTATTTATTTAGTTTTTTTGTTTGTTTGTTTGTTTGTTTGAGCCTCACTTTGTTGCCCAGGCTGGAGTGCAGTGGCACAATCTTGGCTCATTGCAACTCTGCCATCCGGGTTCAAGTGATTCCCCTGTCTCAGCCTCCCGAGTAGCTGGGATTACGGGTGTGTGCCACCACGCCCAGCTAATTTTTGTATTTTTAGTGGAGACAGGGTTTCACCATGTTGGCCAGGCTGGTCTTGAACTCCTGACCTTAACTGACCTGACTGCCGTGGCCTCTCAAAGTACTGGGATGAGCCACCGCACCAGCCAAAAATTTTAAATTGACTCACATTTTATTTTACTTGCTATTGAGTTAACATATTTAGCATTTACCCTTAGGGTTGGTAAAAACATGTTATCAAGGTATTATGCAGGAGTTTACATATTATTTATTTATTTGTTTAAGACGGAGTCTTGCTCTGTCACCCAGGCTGGAGTTCACTGGCATGATCTTGGCTTACTACAACCTCTGCCGCCTGGGCTCAAGCGATTCTCCTGCCTCAGCCTCCCTAGTAACTGGGATTACAGGTGCATGCCACCATGCCCGGCAAATTTTCTGTATTTTTAGTAGAGACTGGATTTCTTCAGGTTGTTGGCATATTACTTAAGTGATGCTAGTATTCTGAACTTTCAGAAGTTTACCTACTTCTCAATCCTGTGTCTTAGGTAGATGTTTATAACATGATTCATTTTCAACAACCTACTGTCCCTGGATAATAATCTTATATTACTATTTTCCCCCAACATTCAATAGAAAACTTTGGTTCCCTTACCAGTCTCCAAATCTAAATTGAATGGTTTCACTTAAAAGTTACTCATTTGAGGCTGGGCGCAGTGGCTCATGCCTATAATTCTGGCACTTTAGGAGGCCAAGGCAGGTGGATCACTTGAGGTCAGGAGTTTGAGACCAGCCTGGCCAACATGGTGAAACCCCATCTCTACTAAAAATACAAAAATTAGCTGGGCGTGGTGGCATATGCCTATAATCCCAACTACTTAGGAGGCTGAGGCACGAGAATCACTTGAACCCAGGAGGCAGAGGTTGCGGTGAGCCAAGATTGCACCACTGCACTTCCAGCCTGGGTGACAGAGCAAGACTATGTCTAAATATATACATATATATATATGTATATATTTGAGAACACTTAATAGTAAGTACAATTATTAATTTAGTTACTTTAAGTTGCACTGATGCTATCATTACATCACAGTGCACCTAACACATAAAACAAATGAGATGAAGTCAGTTATATTTTTTACATTAATTTACGGTTCTACACAAATACATTAATCCCTTGGTGAATTTGTTTTAGACCAATTGACAATTATCTGTAAACGTAGCTTAATGTAAACATTAGTACTTTATCTTATTTTGTTCCTGTACTTTAAGTAAGGTTTTAAGTTAAAATGTCATTATTTCCTTATCTGAAGAATTAAAGGAAACAGCTTGGTTGGTTTGGGAAGAACTCTTTGTGATGGAGGCTCACTAAATTTGGCCCTGGCAAAGTTCTGATTAGCTTGAGATTTAAAAAGCAAGCTCGGACCTGAAAAGTCAGAGTTCCAATTTTGATTATTTGGAAAATTTTTGTTCTTTCCCCATCTCCCGTGGCCTGCCCTGCAGCTATTGATGAGTTATAATCCTGTCTTTTTTCTTATGAAGAATCTTCACGGGGAGATTCTGACCCTGGGACTAATTTTTGTTTTTGTTTTTGTTTTTTTGAGATGGAGTCTCACTCTGTTGCTCAGGCTGGAGCTCAGTGGAGTGATCTTGGCTCACCGTAACCTCTGCTAATTTTTGTATTTTCAGTAGAGACAAGGTTTCACCATGTTGGCCAGGCTGGTCTCAAGCTCCTGACCTCTGGTGATCCACCCGCCTTGGCCTCCCAAAATGCTGGGACTATAGGCATGAGCCACCGTGCCCAGCCTGGTCTATGAAGCTGTTGTTGGTCCTGCTAGCATTTCTAGATTGAGGAGCTGGAATGTTATACCTCTCTCCACCACCTGTCTTCAGTTTCTTTGTCACCTGTCCTCTTCCTTAGTGTCAAGACCAGGACAATAGGTGTTGCTTTCTGACAGTTCATTTCCTTTTGTCTCAGTACAGAAGTTTTCATGGGCTGATCTGCTGAGTTCAGCCTGGGAACTGAGGCCAACATCGGAGTCTCCTCATCACACAAGTTTGGAAGAAGTCTTAGTGACTTGAAGCTCAGAACCGTGGACGGCAGAGGCTCCCTTTGGACATGGAATTCTCCATCCCTTTCCAGGGAGGGAACAAAGCCCACAAGCACTGGTGAGTGAACTGCTGACCACCCCCAAATGTTCAACCCTGAGATTTAAAAAATATCCTTTTTTCTCTTATTTTTACAAAAATAACATGGCGGCCGGGTATGGTGGCTCACGCCTGTAATCCCAGCACTTTGGGAGGCTGATGCGGTGGATCGCCTGAGGTCAGGAATTTGAGACCAGCCTAGCCAACACGGTGAAACACTGTCTGTACTAAAAATACAAAAGTTAGCCAGCCGTAGTGGCAGACGCCTCTAACCCCAGCTACTCAGGAGGCTGAGGCAGCAGAATTGCTTGAGCCCAGGAGGCAGAGATTGCAGTGACCCAAGATTGCACCACTACATTCAAGCCTGGGCAACGAGTGAAACTTCATCTCAAAACAAATAAACAAACAAAAATAACATGGTATAAAACTTATGCCTAGCATCTAGCCACCTAGGGATATCACTTTCCTGTCTTTGTCTATCCATATTATATCTCCCTGTTTTCTTTTTAAGCCAAAACCTGTTTTTTTTTCCCTTAGGCTAGAGTGCAGCGAGTGGCATAATCTCGGCTCACTGCAACCTCCACCTCCTAGGTTCAAGCAGTTGTCCTGCCTCAGACTCCCGAATAACTGTTTTTACAGGTGTCCACCACTGCGCCCGTCTAAGTTTTTTATTTTTAGTAGAGATGGGGTTTCACCATGTTGGCCAGGCTGGTCTTGAACTACTGATCATGTGATGCACCCTCCTTGGCCTCCCAAAGTGCTGGGATTACAGGCGTAAGCCACTGCACCCATTCCCAAAACCTATTTTGTAAACTGCTTTCCCCCACTCAATATATAGTGAGCATTTTTTTTTTTTTTTGAGCTGGAGCCTCACTCTGTTGCCCAGGATAGAGTGCAGTGGCATGATCTCAGCTCACTGCAACCTCTGCCTCCAGGGATCAAGCAATTCTCCCACCTCAGCTTTCCCAAGTAGCTGGGACTACAGGCACACACCTCCATGCCCAGCTAATATTTGTATCTTTGGTACAAACAGGGTTTCACCATGTTGTCCCAGCTGGTGTCGAACTCCTGACTTTTAGTGATCTGCCTGCCTCGGCCTCCCAAAGTGCTAGGATCATAAGCGTGAGCCATCCTGCCTGGCCTATAGTGAGCATTTTCTGTCGATCATAAATATTCTCCCGTAAAATGACTTTAAATGTGAGCAATAAATTCTACTAAAAGGCTGGTGTGGCGGGCCACACCTACAATCCCAGGACTTCAGGAGATCAAGGCTCAAGGATGGCTTGAGCCTGGGAGTTCAAGACCAGCCTGGCAACACAGAGAGGCTCCCATCACCACAAAAAATTTTAAAAATTAGCAAGGGGTGGTGGTGTGAATCTGTAATCCCAGCTACTCAGGAAGCTGAGGCTGGAGGATCACTTGATCCCAGGAGTTGGAGACTGCACTGAGCCATGATCATGCCACTGCACTGCTTCTGGGCAAAGAGTGAGGCCCTGTCTAAAAACAAAAAGTCTGCTTAACGAATTTCCATGATTTAGAATCAGTCGCCTATTGTTAGTCATTTGCCTAGCTCCAATTTTCCTACGCAAATAGCCTTGCTAAACATCCCTGAAAATCAATGTATGCATATATCCTGGATTGTTTTTCATTCAAATGTATTTCTAGACGTGCATTAATGAGACCAAACGTAGGTAAGAAATGGAAAGGCTTGGGTGGGCCCGGGTGTGCTGACAGCAGCACCGTGACAGCACAGTGACAACACAGTGGCGGAGACCTCAGCAGCGGCTACTCCTTACTTTTTTGATTTACCTGGTTGCTTCCTCCCTCTTCCCCCAGTAATTATTATTCAGAACTTCCCAGAATAAAGCCGGGGCCCTGATTTTACCTACAAACAGTGCCAGAGGTTTCACCTGAAGGAAAGACTGACCCGGCAGAGAAACCCAGCAATGAGGGTGAGGGTGGGAGTTCCAGAGGGGAAGGGGCACGGGTGGGGACCGGAGCCAGGTTATGGATGCATGCTCCTCCCAGGTAGCACCAGGCCCGGCCCTGTCCCTCCCATGCATGGAAGTGGCAGGAGGTTGTGAAAGTGACCCTGACAGCAGGTGGCTGGCCTCCTCTATGCCACTGACCATGGAGTGCTGTAGTGTCTGTCTTCCTTCTTTCTCCTCACCGTCCCTTGCCCCACACCTTTAGCCTTCCTCCCTTTCCCCTTCATCAGGTCCAGGTGAGTGGGTTGAGCCCAGCCTGCGCAAAGGCCTCGGGTGGGGGAGCCGCAGCAGACCGTAGGCATCTATCTATAGGACTGCCCAGGTTGCATCTGGGGACCAGCCCTTGGAGGAAAAGGTGTAACTCAGTGCTCTTAACCTGCACACTGTAATGGGGGTGACTGATTTCTTTTGATGGCATTTTTCTTTTCGATAGAAGGGGTCCTGGATATCAGAAAAAAGTTCTTTTTTTTTTTTTTTTTCACCAGAGACAGAATCTTGCTCTGTCACCCAGACTGGAGTGCAGTGGCGTGATCTCAGCTCACTGCAACTCTGTCTCCTGGATTCAAACAATTCTTATGTCTCAGCCTCCTGAGTAGCTGGGACTACAGGTTTGCGCCATCACACCTGGCTAATTTTTGTATTTTTGTGGAGACAGGGTTTTACCATGTTGGCCAGGCTGGTCTCAAACTCCTGGCCTCAAGTGATCCGCCCGCCTCAGGCACCAATGTGCTGGGATTACAGGTGTGAGCCATTGTGCCAGGCCAGAAAGAAGTTCTTGGTGGGACAAGACATCAAAACCAGCTGGCAGCCAGTTCCCCTATCTTGCTTTCTGTTTCACTAGATTTTCATGGAGTGAAGAGATGAAGCTTTAAGTGCAAGTACGATGTAGGCCACTCACCTGGCATTTTGTGATATTTTTTTCATTATTAACTTTCCCTAAGTCTGATTCTTGTGTATATATATCCTTCACTGCTGTATAAACCTCTCCAAAGCAAGGGACCAGCTCCTACATTTCCTATGTTGTTTCCTAGATAGATAGATGGATATATATGTATATATAAAATAATATATGATACATATTTGTATATATCGAATATGTATTTTTAAATATATGACTTGCTAAATTGTATACTACTGTTTGGGCAAGAGAGATAGCTAGGAATAAAACAACAGTTGTCCTGCATGGCAGTCGGCTGCCTCTCCCGCTTACTGCCATGTGGGTTATCACTAATGGGAAGGTCCCCTGAGTACTACTGAGAACTGGGGGATATATAGTTCAACACTTTACCAGGATTACTGCACTTCACGTGGCTGAGTGCCACCTCCTTAAGTCTCAGCTTAACTTTCACTTCCTCTGGGAAAATAGTTCTGATTTTCCCCACAAAACTAGAAAACATAAGTCCTCAGGAATCCCAACGTTAGGGAAAATGGGTAACTTTTAGTAGAGATGGGGTTTCGCCATGTTGGCCAGGCTGGTCTCGAACTCCTGACTTCAGGTGATCCACCTGCCTTGGCCTCCCAGAGGATTACAGGTGTAAGACCCCGAACCAGGCCTAGGAAACTTTTTGAAATGCAAAAAACAAAATCACAATGACAACAGCCCTATCCTGTGTACATGCTTTAGGAAATATATTATTTACCTTAATTTTCTAACTTCTGGCCTCAAATGATCTGCCCGCAGTCTCCCAAAGTGCTGGGATTACAGGTGTGAGCCACCATGCCCACTCATAGTTTGATTTTGAATACTAATAACCTTGATATTTTTGCAGTCCTCCTCGTTTATTGCTTTTCTCTCTGGGATTTGAAACTTTTTTTTTTAAGAACAATTCAACAAAATAAGATTCCTGTTTATTGTTGGACAACAATGTTTGACACATACATCAAACAGGCCAAAAAAAAGAAAAAAGAAAAGAAAACCCACAGCAATTTCATAGACAAAAACGGAAAAAAAAGAAACCTTTTATATTGGCCTTTTTTTTTTTTTTTTTTTTGAGGTGAAATTTCATTCTTGTTGTCCAGGCTGGAGTGCAATGGTGGGATCTCAGCTCACTGAAACCTCTACCTCCCGGGTTCAAGTGATTCTCCTGCCTCAGCCTCCCAAGTAGCTGGGATTATAGGCATGTACCACCACATCTGGCTAATTTTTTGTATTTTTGGTAGAGACGGGGTTTCTCCATGTTGGTCAAGCTGATCTCGAACTCCAGACCTCATGTGATCCACCCGCCTCAGCGTCCCAAAGTGCTGAGATTACAGGCATGAGCCACCGGGCCCAGCTGGCCTTTTTAACCATCTCATGCAAAAAACTGCTTATAGTACAGCTAAGCACATACATGAAAAAGTTACTGGAATGCTCAAATAAGACTATTTTTCTATTGTTGTTTTTGCTTTTTTTTTTAACAAGGTTTTTTTTCTCCTTTGAGATTATTATGAACATGGTCACACTACAAGTAAAATCAGAAGTAGGACAGAGATCACTCTGAAGGCTGGTTTGGTCATCAGAGATCATTAAAAATGGCTGACTCTAACAATATGTACAAAAATATAAAATGTACATAAAAATACAAACAAATTTCCTTTTTAAAGTACTTTTAAGAAAAAGGCAGGGCCTTGGAAGTTTTGGCTCTGTTTTCCTCCCCTGCTGCAAATTCTCATGGTTTGGGTTGGGTGTTAGAGCGCATGTATCATCTGCAGGTGGCCCTGCCTGTGGTGGGCAGGAGGCGGGCCTCTCTACTCAAAGGTGGTGACCACGTTTAGATTCTGAGATGGGAAGTGCAAGGGGAATAGGTCACGGCAGCCTTTTTTTTTTTTTAGTTTAAGTTTTCCTTTTTTGCTGTCTAGTCAACCTCCTCGGTCTTCTGCTTCTTGGTATCGACATTGTCATCCTCAGCATCTTCTGCTGTCCGCTTGCCCATAGCCGACTCAGCTTCCTCACCTTCATCTCCATCCTCTTCCTCACTATCACCTTCTTCCTCCCCACCTTCCTCCCCATCTTCGACCTCACTGTTAGCCCC